CAATGTGCGTAATTCTTTTAAGTTGAGATTTTCATGTATTTAGTCTATTTTCGTATTTTTGGGTGTAGTAGGAGTATATTAGAGGAGGACCACGTAGAGGAGGACACCAGATTTCAGAGAAGGAAACATTCTGGAGTCAGACAGTCCTGGGTGAGGCTTTAGCGCCTCTACTTGTTAGCCATGTGACCATAGAAAAAAATTACCTAACATTGCCTACATAATTATCATGAGGATTAAATAAAATTATAAATGATAAATGTGAAAATACCTAGCACAGTCGCTGGCACATTTTGGGAACTCAGTAATGCTAGTGTCCTTTTCCTGTAGTTTATAACAATTTAACCCATATACCACCTGTTGTTTGTCAGAGACCCCATATGAGTCACCTTAGAGAGAAAGGAAATGATGACATCCAGAATTGCCAGTTTTGTGAATATCATGTGCTAAAATAATGATTAATAATAATATTTTATGAAACTCATTACAACTGAATGCATTTATAGATGAAATATGACATTTGCAACTTGGGTAAGATTATAATGACATTCTGATCTAGAGAAATTAGGGTCTTGGAATGCAACTGTCAATTTAGGGTCATCTTTCAAAGTTGAGAGAGGTAGGGGGCTACTAAAGAAAAAGCCAAGATACATTTCCATTGCTCACCTCCTAAGCCTCTCTATAGTCCATCTCTTCATTTTTGTTGTCACTTCCTTTTAGCTCAGACATCATCATTTCCTGCCTGGACTTTGGCCAAGATGTAAAACTGGTTTTCCTCCCACCACTCTCATCACCTTCCAATCCATCATCCATGATTGATCTCTCCAGAGGGATCTTTGAAAAACTTAAACCTGATTCTCTGTCTCTTCTTAAAATGGCCCCTTATCACCCACAGGTTGAAGGCCAAGATCATTGCCATGTTATTCAAGATTGTGTGGTAATTAGCCCATGCCTACCATAGTAATCTCATTCATTACACTCCAGGCTTTGCCTACATTCTAGTTGTGCCTGGCAGTGGACTCTGTACCCCAGTAAACAACAGAGACTTGAGTCTCTGCACATTCGTATGCACAATTTCCTCTTCTAGGGATACCTCACCACCGCCATCTCCTTCTGTTTCAGCCTAACTTCTGATGGTCTTTCAAATACTCGGTCAAGTGTTATTTTTTCTGGCAATTCTTCTCTCGCCTTCCTGGCATCAAAAGCGTTATGTTCTACTTAGTTCCTCTCAGGAGCATGTGGGTGGGCCTTTTCCACACAGAATTGTCATTGCTTGTTAACTGAAAAGTCTTTCTCAACTAGACCATAAATTTCTTGGTGTCAGGGAAGCATCTTTGTGTCCTCAACATCTGGCACAGCCGTGGCTTTCAAAAAATGTTACTTTGTGGGTTCATTCAGTTAGAATTGCTGTCATGTGGTCCAGCTTCAAAGCTTTATGATTCTGACTTTGGTCAGACTAGGTGATCTCAATATGTAAAGTAGGAGCAGTGCACAGCTGTGTCAGAAGGTTCTACTGACATGGCGAGTGGAGGGGATACTGAGTCTCCTCCCCTAACAAGACACGACTTTTATTCCTTTCTGAAACAGTGAGATAAGGAAAGGCCAATCATGAAATGTTAGAACTGGAAGGGATCGGAGGGCATCCCGGCTGTTTTGAGAAGCATAAATAAAGTACCAAAGAGCCTTGCCAGCATGACAGGATGGTTAGTTGCAGAGCTGGGTCTAGCACCCAGTTACTCGCAGTTCGGTAGTCACCCATTTGCCTTTTCCACTCCAGCAGAATTTTTTTTTTTTTTTTTTTTTGTAAGTAAGCTAACTTTGCATGCCAACTTCCCACTTAATTGGTCAGGCTGCTGAGATACTTCTAACCTGGTGAGTCTTGTCAGCAGCTAGAGAGATGCTCCTGCTTTGATTTGAGGCTACTGAATACTTCACAAAAAAATAGCTTAGGGGCTGTAAGAAGACTGTTGGCTCTGCTCTTTCATGTTTATCCCACTGGCATATTCTCATGAAATGACCTCCTATTTTCCTCTCATTCTCCTTCCCTGCCTCAAAAAAAAGAAACATCCGTATAACATATGGAAGGGTTCCAACATCAGCCAATACATATATTAAAGTTTTAAATCAGTTATTATTCTAGTACACACCCTGGGGCTGAGAAAGTAAGGACATCCAGGACTAACAAACCTGATTGTTCTGGCAAAGTTGCCATTTGATTCATGCTGGCATTTCTGGGCTTTTCTTTTCCTCTGATATTCCAACCTCAGTTTTGTTTTGTTTTGTTTTTTAAGTTAATGGCTCAAGTAGCAATTTTTAACGTTACTATTTCATTCAGTTTCTCCATGAAACTTCTACCTCCCAGTCTCCTGAGAGTTACCCACAGGGCACGTGCCCGGAGTCGGCCTGCTTAGCTGCAGAGACAGCTGTCAATCTGAGTGAGTTCGTTAGACCGTGGATTATTCCTCACTTTATTACCTCTGAGCAAGGGAGAGACTCGGGCTTGGGAATGTGAGCACTTCACAACTTGGCATTCTAGACTGAGGAAAACTCTTAATCGTAACAGTTAAGAAATTAAATTACAACTGTGTATAACATTGTGAATTTTAAGTACTCTGTGTTGGACCTATGCAAGTCTTCTGATTAATACTGTTCTAACTGAAATTCCTATAAAGTATGATACATGTGTTTTTTATAGGCAAGTACTGGAAGTCCGTGAGGACGGTGGCTGTGCCAAGGGGCTGTGCTCTGGCCGGGGCTCAGCTGCAAGAGGAGACAGAGACCGTTTCTGCCCTGGCCTCCCTGACAGTGGATGTGGAACAGCCCTTTGCTAGAGAAGACGGCAGGTATGAATCCAACACGGGGGAATCATTAAGGTCAGTCACATCCAGGCTCATCATTAGCATCTGTCAGCTTCTCTCCAGGCTGTCCTTCACCTGTCTCCTCGACTTCCACCTGTCTTCTCCAGAGCCACAGGTGCCACAGCACATGCTGTCGGCTGTCAAGAATTCATTTGTTTCATTCTTTTAAGGGAAGCACAGAGCTTGAGCATGTGGTTGCAGTTCACAGGGAAATAGAAGGATGAGATAGATGGTGAGAAAAATCACTCCTTGTTGGATAACTTAGTGTGGATCATTATGGAAAAAGCTTTTTGTGGGCTTAACTTCTTTCCTTAGTTATCTCTCTTTTTCCAGCTGTTTTTCTTTCTCTCATCATTCTGAAATCACTGATATAACAAAGAGGGGAAAGGAGAGCAGAAGCTGGAGGTATGGCTAGTCAGCTGGATAACCTAAATACATACAGGCTTCTTCTATGACTGTCCGTGAGATACAACCACTGGGTAAAGATGGAGGTTGCCTCTCAAGGAGACAGGAGTGTGTGCAAAGGAATGTGGCCTCAGTCTGGTTTTATTTTACTTAATGATAATAAGGAGTTGATTTTAATTAGTCTTCATATGAATAGCTTTCAGGGCAGAAAAAGATAACCTAAGACCGGGTTTGATGCTTCTCCTTTTAAGAAGTGTTTGTTGGTTTGTGCATTTTGCTGTTCAATAGACAATACTACACTCGGGATTTCTTTTAAGTCTACTGTGACCAAAATCACCACAAATGTGCATACATTAACATTGGTGCTCTCTGGATGACTTCAAAGTCACATTTCCTCAATTTAAAAATGAATAGGTGGGGGGAAAAAGAAAAAGAATAGGCGAGGCTTTACCAAAGCTCTGCCAACTTGCTCTTTTAAATTGCTTCTGAGAATGAAACTGGATTCCCTCTGTCAATAACATCACCATTAATTACACAGATCCTGCTTACTAGTGTATAGGTTGGCAATTTTCCCAAGAATGCACAAATTTGAACAGCTTTAGCTTTCTTGCTTTTACTAGATATTCAGAGCTTAATGGATTTAACATCTTGTTTTGGTCAAGAGCTGGAGATACACTGAATAAGAGATTTCATTTTTATACAATTGTTTTTTCTTACCATAACCACTTGAAGAGAAGATTACCAGTAAAGAAAAAAAAAGTTGTACAACATTATATTAAAAGGCATCTTCATATTGGGCATCTGGAGCATAAGGGGAAACTTTTTTTACATCTTTGATAACGTGAACTAACCCCCTGCCGTTCCCAGCTAAGAACCAAACCAACTTCATAATCCAGAGGTGTTGCAGTTACTCCCAAAGCCAAATACAGTTAGTTGTCTGTCATTGGAGGGCTGTAAAACTAAGGAAACTAACATCTGTTAGTGTTGGATATGAAGGGAGCATAGCTCTTCTTTAGAATTCATTTAATATAGAGACATGAAGCTAAATTCCAACCTGAGTGAAATGATTTGTAAGTTATTTTGCCCGTTGAATTGCAGAACTTAGAATAATTAAGAATAATAAGTCACATTATGAGCCCCATGGAATAGAAAAATCTCAGCACTTTGGCGGGATTTGGCTCTACAAGCATGCTTGTTTATTCTCAGGTAAATGGTGTGCTTGCCTCCTGGCTTCAGTTCACAGTGATTTTTCGGCATCATCTGATGGGAGAGGAAGAATGGGAATGTTCTGATGTATAGGGAAGCAGAATTGAAGTGTGTGGCCTGGATTCATGTTTATCAGTTTTAGACAGATTGAATCTATTCTTATTAATTTCTCTTGTGGGGAGAAAAATGGTTTTGCTTGAAATATCTTCTGTGGTTTTGAACTCACTTTTTCAGCAGAGGCTGAAAAGAAAAATTCTTCTAGAACTGGCTTTCGCATTTCTGTTGAACCATGCATGGGTTTCATCACAGAGAGTCAGACTGGGAGCGCCCTTGAAAGCCACAGAGCATTTATTCTTTCCAGGGGAATGCTATCAGAATGGCCCCCCTACTCAGTATAGGAAGGATGACTTTCAGAATGAGGTAAAGAGGTAGAAATGTTCTTGGGCCTTTGTTATGAATGCAATATTATAAGTACACAGGAAACGGAAAAATTAGAAAAATCAGAGAGCTAAATGGATGGAAAAGGGTGAAGGCAAGATTCTTTTTATAGGAAATTCTTGCCAGTTATTTTGGAGAATATATTGGTGTTTGGAGTGAGATGACTCATTTTGTACTAAGATTTTGGGTAAAGCAGCTCTTTTCCTGGCCAACTCATATCTGACTCATTTACCACTAGTGAATAAAGGATAAAATGCTCCTGGCTAAGAACCATTGTAAGTATTTTTTGTTCATTTCTTGGGGGGGTGGGGGAGATGACAACACAGTGCAAATAGTCATTTCATTTTTATAACTCATTGATGGACCATGAAGAAGAAATTATTAGAAAAAGTCTAGGGATTCATTTTGGAGATGACTGAAATATAATTTTCAAAACATAATTTTCAGGTAGCAAAGAAGTTGAGCAGGAAAGAAAAGATTGGTGGGTCAGCAGAAAACAAAAGACCAAAAAAAAAAAAACTGGGGCCAAGGTATATATTCAAAGACTATTAAGTGGATAGGACTTGTCACATATAGCATATCATTTAGAAGAAAGAAGTGTGATCTTAGTTTTCTTCTTATTTGTCAGAAGACTGCACCTTTAAAAGATTCTAGTTTGCATTGGTTGGATATCTGTTTCAAATGCTTCTACTTTGAAAAGGTCAGTTCAGTATTGAGGTTTATTCTTGGATACCAGTTCAGGCTCTGCTGAAAATCAAGAAAAAGTTCTCTTTGGCAATCAAGACTTCAGAATGATCAATTCTTAAGTTACTGGGAACATGTTTACACTCTAGAATTTCTCTCTCTCATTTTTTATATCGAAACAAAAACTGAAAGGTTTTCAAATGTCAGTATATAGACTATAGTATGAATCATATGAGATTTTCTTAATACAACAGGATATGGTTGTTTCATTTCATCTTCAACTTTAGTCATTGTCTCAGGAATGAGATGGTTTCAAGTCATTATATAATAGAGAAGCATGAGAAAAGTAAGATTCTGAATCTGGCTATTTTATTTTTTAACTATTTTATTCATGAATGTTAAAGGAAAAAAAAGTATAACAATAAGCTGAAAAACCTCAAATGTCACATGCCTTAGCTTTGAATGGCCTATCAGTAGTGCCAAGGACAGCAATAATCCCATTTTCCTGTATCTGAAGATTTGTACAGACTGCTGTTGAATATACATTCATCTCTAACAGGCTTAGAAACACAACTTTGTTTTCCGTGCTTTAGGGTTGTATCTCCAAGGCTTCTGGAAGCTAAATATGGTATGAATTATTCAGGTTTCCAATTTTTCTCTCTGATACTATTATTTTGAACATTTGTTTATCTAACCAGGCAAACATTCTAGTGTAAATTTTATTTTTAATTTTCATCCAATGGCAACAGTGCCTTAGTTGAAAAGTGGGCTGAGATTTGGAAGTTCCCAGTAAAAGGAAGGACAGTACGTACATCCCTTCTTATCTTCTTTTCCTTCTCTTCCTGGGACTGTCATTTTACCTCTGTGTTCAGTGCCTAACATGTGGTCTTGGGGTGCGTGTGAACTCTGACTTAGTATGTTAGAGATTAAATTCAGTGCCTGATGTATTTCAAGGTTCCATTCTAAATTGTTTATAAGCAAGTGTTTAATTTGAGAAAAAGACACATGGTGGAATAGAACCTCAAGTAAAATGAGAGGCCTGAGAACCTGAGCTTCCTGTCATCTCAGTCAATCTCCTCTCCTTCCCTCCTGTCTTCTTGCCACTACAGAGGAAGAGTCGAGTGTGACTCTAGAATCAGCCTGCCTCATTCATATCCCATCTCCAGCATAATAACTGCTGATCAGGACCAAGTTGCTTATTTCTCTAGGCTTAATTTTTCCTTGTCTTTAAAATGAAGGGAAAATTTCATAGTGTTTTGGGGATGAAATGAAACAATATATCTTATGAACACAACACTTGACACATAGAAATCAAAGGTTGGTTTTTATTTTTTTCTGTCATTTTCCTGCTTCCTCAATTGCTCTTATTTCTTCCCTCCCTTAATACATTGTTCAACATCCAGTGATCTATAGTATTAGAATATAGAAGCTGTACCTGGGCATCTACATGTTTAACTGTTCGTAGCTTAAATCAGTAGTGCAGTCAGTAAAAACAAGAGACTGACAAATAGTCACTAAGCAATAATTGTTCAATTAACTCATCTGTGGTTAGCTGACTTAAAAGAACTTAACGATTCCCAATACATTGTAGATAGTAAACAAATATTTATTGAATGAATGAGTCCAAAGACAGGAGACAAAACATTGTTAAAATGGTAGCATAGTAATTTATAAAGATACCTGAGCTCTTTGTCTCTATTTATGTTTTCTGAGGGAATTGGTGTCTTTATCTTTTTAAATGAGCTTTCCAAATGTGTATTTTATGTTTTTCTTTCATAGTGCTAGTTGAGAGTGTCCACTTCCAGATATGCTGGCTAACCAGACTCCCATAGTGCTCATATTATAAAGATAGGCTGATTGAGGGAACATAATAAAGGAGGAAAGGGGAAGCCAAGTGTCTGTCCGACTAGAAAAAGGAATTGTCTTGGGCGAGGTGGAGGGGATGTGGGAGTGATAGTAACAGATTACAAGGTAATCCTGCGACCTGCAGAATGAGGAGGGAGAACATCTGGTTCATTTATTCCTTAAACATCTTCTGATTGTGGCACATAAAAAGCAAAGTGTTCGGAGTCAGGGTCAAAGCTTCCTTGGAGTCTTCAAAATGTTCCCATACTTGGAGACTGTATTCGTTTTCTATTGCTATCTTAAAAAATTACTACAAACTTAGTGGCTCAAGATGACAGAAAGGTCAGAAAAGGCTGACAGGTCTCTGGGCTAAAATCAAGAGGCTGGCAAGACCTTGTTCCTTCCCGGAGGCTCTAGGGGAGAAACTGTTTCTTTGCCTTTCCCAGTTTCTCGAGGCTGCCTGCATTCCTTGGCTCATGACTGCTTTCCACGATCTGCAAAGCCAGCAACTTTACAGCTCTCTCCCTTTCTTCAGTTATCGCATCTCTCTCTGACTGAAGAAAAAAAGCTAGGAAGACTGACTGAAAAGCCAGGAAGGTTTCCCTGCTTGTAAGGACTCATATGATTAGGCTAGATCCACCAGGATAATTTCTCTTTCTCAAGGTCCTTGACCTTAATTAAATTTACAATCAGTTTTGTCATGCAATGTGACAGTCACAGCTTCCAGGGATTGGGACAGGGACAGCTTTGGGGGTTGTTACTCTTCCTATCATGGGATCAGACATGAACAACCAACTACGATAAGTGATGGGTCATTGGATAGACTGAGCTGCAGAATAAAAGAAGATCTAACGTAGACCAAAGCCTGGGGAACAGATCACAGAACCAGGGCCACGGAGCCGGGGTAGAAGAGTGGAGGGTTTCGCCTAGTAAATAGGAGCAAAGGCTTCCAAGATAGAGACAGTAGCTTTTTCACCTATTCCACACTCATAGAAACACCAACCAGAACATAATCGAGAACATTTTCATCACCCAGGAAGTTTATTTGCGCCTCTTCTTACTGCCATTCCTTCCATAGGCAACCTTTTTCTCTTTCTTAGTTTTAACACTAAGAAAGACATTAGTTTTGCCAGAATTTGAGTTTCATTTAAAGGGGATCCTACTAGTACATAATGCTTTCTATCTGGCTCCTTTTACTTTTCTAAGCTTAACATTTTTGAGATCCATCCAGTCAGTAGTTTGTTCATTTTTATTACTGTGCATTATTCCCAATGTATAAGGCTATTGGGCTTATCATTTGGGGCTATTGATTGTTTTTTATGATTTTTATTGAAATATAAGTAACATTACATGTCTTTCAGGTATACAACATAATGATTTAATATTTGTATATTCTGTAATATGATCACCACAGTAAGTTTAGTTAACATCCATACAGTTATAATTTTTTTCTTGAGGACTTTTAAGATTTACTCTTGCAGCAACTTTAAATATACAATACAGTATTATTAACTGTAGTCACCATGCTGTACATTATAATTTCCCAGGATTTATTTATCTTACAACTCAAGTTTGTATCTTTTGACCACCTTCACCCATTTCGCCCACCCTTCTACCTCTGGCAACCACCAATCTGTTCTCTGTATCTGTAAGTCAGGGTTTATTTGTGATTCCACATATAAGTGACATCATACGGTATTTGTCTTTCTGTCAACATAACATAATGCCTCAAGTTCCATCCATGTTGTTGCAAATAACAAGGTTTCTTTCTTTTTTATGGATGAATAATATTCCCTTGTACCATGTTTCCTTTATCCATTCATCCACTGATGGGCACAAGTTGCTTCCATGTCTTGGTTATTATAAATAATTCTTCAGTGAACATGGGGATGCATGTATCTTTCTGAATTAGTTATGTCCATTTCCTTTGGATAAATACCCAGAAGCCAAATTTGCTGGATCATATGGTAAGTCTGTTTTTAATTTTTTAGGAAACTTCATACTGTTTTCCATAGTGGCTGCACCAACTTACATTCTGACCAATAGTGCACAAATGTTCCCTTTTCTCCTCAGCCTGTCACTTGTTAGTTCTTGTGGTTTTGATAGTAGCCACTTAAATAAGTGTTAGGTGATATCACATTGTGTTTCGCTTTGCATTTCCCTGCTGATTAGTGATGTTGAACATCTTTTCATGTACCTGTTGGGCATCTGTATGTCTTCTTTGGAAAAATGTCTATTCAGATTCTCTGCCATGTGGGGCTATTATGAATAAAATTGCTAGAAATAATTTTTTATTATAGAAAAAACAATTACCACCTAAACCATTTTTTTTTAAACTGAAGTACAGTCACAGTGTGTCAATTTCCGGTGCACAGCACAATGTCCCAGTCATGTGTGTGTGTGTGTGTGTGTATATACATTTTCATATTTTTACATTAAAGGTTATTACAAGATATTGAACATAGTTCCCTGTGCTATACAGAAGAAACTTTCTCTTTTAAATCTATTTTTATATGTAATGGCTAAAATTTGTAAATCCCAAACTCCCAAATTTATCCCTTCCCACCCCCTTTCCCTGGTAACCATAAGATTGTTTACTATGTCTGCAAGTCTGTTTTGTATTTGAGTTCATAGTATCTTTTTTTTTTTAAAGATTCCACATATGAGTGATAACATATGGTTTTTCTCTTTCTGGCTTACTTCAGTTAGAATGATGATATCCAAGTCTATCCATGTAGCTGCAAATGGCACTATTTTATTCTTTTTTATGGCTTTGTAGTATTCCACTGTATATGTGTATATCACAACTTCTTTATCCAGACACCTGTCGATGGACATTTAGGCTGCTTCCATGTCTTAGCTATTGTAAATAGTGCTGCTGTGAACATTGGGGTGCATGTATCTTTTTTAATTAGTTACTTCTGAATATATACCCAGAAATGAGATTGCTGGATCATATGGTAAGTCTATTTTTAGTTTTTTTGAGGAATACCCATACTGCTTTCTGTAATGGCTGCACCAAACTACATTCCCACCAGCAGTGTAGGAGGGTTCCCTTTTCTCCACACCCTCTCCAGCATTTATCATTCGTGGACTTTTGAATGATGGCCATTCTGACTGGTGTGAGGTGATACCTCATTGTCATTTTGATTTGCAGTTCTCTGATAATTAGCGATATTGAGCATTTTTTCATATGCCTCTTGACCATTGTATGTCTTCATTGGAGAATGGTATGTTTAGGTCCTCTACTCATTTTTGGATTGGGTTGTTTGTTTTTTGTTAAGTTTTATGAGCTGTTTGTTTATATATTCTGGAAACTAAACCTTGGTCAGTCTCATCATTTGCAAATATTTTCTCCCATTCCGTAGGTTGTCTTTTTGTTTTGCTTATGGTTTCCTTTGCTGTGCAAAAGCTTATGAGGTCCCATTTGCTTATTTATTTTTGCTCTTATTTCCATTGCCTGGGTAGATTGCCCTAGGAGAACATTGCTAAGGTTTATATCAGGGAATGTTTTGCCTCTTCTCTTCTACGAGGTTTGTGGTGTATTGTCTTATGTTTACATCATTTTGAATTTATTCTTGTGTATCGGGTGAGGGAATGTTCTAACTTCACTGATTTACATGCTGCTATCCAGTTTTCCCAACACTACTTGCTGAAGAGGCTGTCTCTTCTCCATTGTATATTCTTGCCTCCTTTGTTGAAGATTAATTGACCAGAGGCCTGTTCCATTGATCCATATATCTGTTTTGATTACTGTAGGTGTATAGTATTGTCTGAAGCCTGGGAGGGTTATTCTTCCAGCTTCGTTTTTTCTTCAATATTGCTTTGGTAAGTCTGGGTCTTTCGTGATTCCATATAAATCTTAAGATCATTTGACTGGATAATAAAACAAGAACCTACAATATGCTGCATTCAAGAGACCCACTTTAGGAAGAAGGACACACATAGATCGAAAGTGAGAGGATGGAAAAAGATACTTCATCCAGCTGAACCATCTTTAAGTGTACAATACAATAGTTAGTGTTAATTCTATGCCCATTGTTCAATATAAGCCTAGAACTTTTTCATCTTGAAACAGTGAAACTCCATACCTATTAAACAACTTACTTTTCCCCCTCCTCACAGCTCCTGGCAACCACCATTCTACTTTCTAAGAATGTGACTACTTTATAGTAGATACCTCATGCAAGTGAAATCATGCAGTATTTGCCTTTTTGTGATTGCCTTAATTCACTTAGTATAATATCCTCAAATTTCATCCATATTGTAGCATATGGCAAAATATCTTTTTTTCATATGGCTAATATTTCATTGTGTGTATATATTACATTTTCTTTATCCATTCACTGAGGTTACCTTTACCTCTTGGTTATTGTGAATAATTCTTTAATGAATATAAGTGTTCGGTTATCTCCTCAAGATTCTATTTTTAATTCTTTTGGATATATACCCAGAAATTAATTTCTGGATCACATGGTAATTCTATTTTTAATTTTTTGAGGAACCTAAGTCTCTATTAAATTTTCATACAAGATTTTACTTTGTGAAGACAAGCATCCAGTTTTCTTCAGTATATACCTAGGAGTAGAACTGCTGAGTTATAGGGACACTGTTTTACTTTCCAAACTGGTTTCTAAAATGGCTATGCTACTTTTCATTCCCACCATCAGTGAATGATAGTCCTGATTGCTTGAATCCTCACCTATACTTTTTATAATTGGTCTTTTAATTTGAGCCTTTCTAGTGAGTATGTAATGATATCCCATTGTGCTTTCAAGTTTTCTCCAGAGGCATATTCATGTCCACATCAGGCTTTCTTGGCACATACCCTCTTTCTGTTTGGAATATTTAGCTTGTCTTCCTCCTCTCACTGACCCTACACTGGCCTCCCAGTTCTCTTCCAGTTACCTTTTAGCTCTCAGATCAAATATCACTTCTTCTTCTTGGAGGATGTTCACTGACCATCAATCCAAAAAATTGGATCAAGTCCTTTGGTTATACTTTCTTATGTCTCCTCTATACTTCTGGTACCTAGAACAGAGCCAGGGTGCATAATAGACATTTGGTAATTATTTCTTGGCAAGACATGGAAGTCCATACTGACAGCCAAGGCCCCCCAAAAATGCCTGAGGGCTGGGATTCAGCCATATAACCTGTTCCTGGCCTGAACCTCTACTTTAGCTACCTCTTCTTGCACACCCCTGGCTCTACTCATATCACAACCTCTATAGCACACCTGTGGTGAGATGCTTTAGCCATGGGAATGCACCTCTAGAGCCAAGGCCAAATCCTCTGGGTTCCACATCTGGCCCTGACTTCTATCACTGGCCTACAATGCTGGGCTCAGTGTCATTTAGCTGCTCCAGCTATGTGGTTGCATTCTGCCAGTCTGAGTCCGAACTTTAGCCTCCAATGCCATAAGGCCACGTAAAGACCCTGCAATTACAGGAGTGCATGCCAAGAGCCAGTGCCCCAACAGCTGATACTGCACCTGTGGTTGGCCCCAGCCCTTGCCACTACCCGTGTTTGTGAACCACTGGCTCCAGCCACTACAGTGGCCTGCCCTGTTCCCTAGATGTACCTGAAGATTTGAACCCCAAAACCCTTAAAGTCACTCAAGACACCCCATCCCCCCAGAGTACTCACCAAGGACCACAGTTATCAATGCTGTGGACCTGAGAGGTCTAAGCCAACAAGACATCATGCCCCTCTGCCCCAGACCCAGAGCCACAGGGAGCACAGAGTCAGGGAAACCTGATACCACCAAAGGAACACAGTAAATTCCCAGTGATTCACCCCAGAGAAATGGAGATATATGAACTGCCTGAAAAAGAATTAGAAATAGTTGTTCTAAAAATGCTGAGAGTTACAGGGGAACAGATAAACAATATCAAAATAAAATGATGAGTTCAAGAAAGAGAAAACATAAACAAGTACTGAACAGAAAGTTGAAAGTTAGGAGCTGCAGAATACAGTAACTAAGAATTCAGTACAGAGTTAAACATCAAACTGGAGCAAGCAGAAGGAAGAATCAATGAACTTGAAGACAGATCATTTGAAAGTATCTAGTCAATGGAGCAAAAAGAAAAAAGGATAAAGAGGGGATGTAGAAAGCCTGTGGGACTTATGGGACACCAATAAGACAACAAACAACCTATGAATTATTAGAGTCCCAGGAGGAGAAGAGAGGAAAAAGGGAAAGAAGGCTTAAAGTAATAATGGCTGAGAACTTCCCAAACCTGAGGAAGGATTTGGACATCCAAGTTTATGAAGCTAATAGGTCAGCCCAAAATTTCATGCCAAAATGATCTCCAGGACTCATGATAAAACTGTCAGAAGTCAAACAGACAATTTTAAAAGCAACGAAAGTTTTCTCTCATACAAGTGAACCCTCATAAGCTTATCAGTGGATTTCTCGGCAGCTACCTTGCAAGGCAAGAGACAGTGGGATGATATATTCAAAGTGCTGAAAGGAAAAAACAAACCTGCCAACCAGAATATGTTAAACATTTAACTCTTGGTTAAAGGACAAAAGTATTAAAAAAAAATCTATAGCTACAATAATTTGTTCATGGATACACAATACAAAAAGATGTAAATTGTAATATCAAGAACATAAAATATAGAGAAGAGGAGTAAAAGGGTAGAGTTTCATATGCAATCAAAGTTCAGTTGTTATCAGATTAAAATTAGACTGTGTATACCTATATGACAATGTTATAGGTGTTCAAGTAAGCCTCAGAGTAACCACAAAGCAAAACTTATAGTACATTCACACAAGATAAAGCAAGGGGAATTAAAGTATACCACTATGGAAAATCATCAATTCAAAAGGAAAACATTGAGAGTAACAAAAGAAGTACAAAACAGCCAGAAAACAATGAATAAGATGGCAATAAATATTAAGTCATTAAGTATTAATTATTCTAACGGTAAATGGATTCAATTCACCAATCAAAAGGCAGAGTGCCTGAATGGATTAAAAACAAAAACCCTAAGCCCAATTATATGCTGCTTACAGAAGATTCAGTTTAGTTTTAAGGGCACACATAGGCTCAACGTGAAGGGATAAAAAAGGGATTCCGTGCAAATGGAAACCAAAATAGAGCATTGGTAGCTATACTTATATCAGAAAAAAGTAGGCTAAGTCTAAAAGCGTAACAGGAGACAAAGAAGGTCATTCTTATAGTCATCAATTCATCAAGAGGATACAATAATTTTAAATATGTATGTACCTAACATCAGAGCACCTAAATACATTAAGCAAATACTAATAGATTTGAAGGGAATAGTATAGACAATAATATAATAATAATAGATACTACACTTTCTACAA